CAGCGCAAAGTGCATGGTAAGTGCTCACAAAACGTTAGCTCTTTCTGTTATTAGGTGTGTGTCAGTACCCTCATTTACAAAATGACAAAGTTGCCACGTTATCATTATTGGTTCCTATGCAGTAGATGCTGCAACTTTGTCACTTTGAAGATATTATAAGGAGAGGTGGGATTTAAACCCAAGCAGTCCCACACCAGGTAAGTTCTCTAAACCACTGCATCATGCTACATCTAGATGTTGAGTGTTTTACAAGTCACATTGTTAGTATCAGAGGCAGGAATCAAATCTAAGCTTTCTGACTTTGAGTAGTTCATTGTCCACCTTACCATGATGTCTATTCTAATTATACAGATTTGATCTGTCTTATCTCCCAAATTTTTTTTTTTTTTTTGAGACGGAGTCTCGCTCTGTCGCCCAGGCTGGAATGCAGTGGCCGGATCTCAGCTCACTGCAAGCTCCGCCTCCCGGGTTTACGCCATTCTCCTGCCTCAGCCTCCCGAGTAGCTGGGACTACAGGCGCCCGCCACCTTGCCCGGCTAGTTTTTTGTATTTTTTAGTAGAGACGGGGTTTCACCGGGTTAGCCAGGATGGTCTCGATCTGCTGACCTTGTGATCCGCCCGTCTCGGCCTCCCAAAGTGCTGGGATTACAGGCTTGAGCCACCGCGCCCGGCCTTATCTCCCAAATTATATTGCGTCTTTCTTCAAGCGAGAAAATGGTATCATCTATTTATTTCCCTGGTAAATCCTTGGGAGAGCTCCTCTGCTGAATGGGTTGTCAATATATGTATTGATTAAAATACAGTAATTTGAGGAGAAACTCAAACAAGTCAATGAGGAAATATATATGTATTTCACATTTTATCATTGTCTTAAAAAATAAAAATAAAATAAAATTTAGCTGTCTACTTCTACCTCTTAGGAGAGTGGCCATTTTTAGCAAGCAAGCATGTTTGCCTGATGAGTACATACTAGCTCCTTTTCACCCTCCTCTACTCCAGAAAAGCTTCTCGTTTCTATTAATCTGTGATCTATTAATAATAATCATTCACTCGTTTCATGACAGGTGGTTAAATTTGATTTGACATTACTCAAAGTATACAACTGATTTATCAGTATATGACATTGGGCAATCACTGTTCAAAGCTAATAGCATAATGGAAGGTAATGTGCTGTACCTGGATTTCATGAGTTACAGCCAAATATGGTAGGTAGAGGAGGGTTGTAAAACATGCACTGTGGAAAAGTACCTTCCTTTGAAAGGTTGTCTTTGAATTACACTGACAAAGCATTCATCCCCACTTTCACTAAAGGTTTTACTTAAATTTTTCTGTTATTGGCTGTGTCTCATGCAGAGATTTTCAGAGGAATAAAAGTTCATCTATTTTAACAGTTTTAATGGTTGCTATACAAATTGATAAAAGCCACACATCTGTTGTAGTCATCGTCACTAAAAGTACTATTATGTGCAAAATTATAACCTGGGAGTAGGAAATAGAAGCTCATATCTTTGAATGAATTGTCTCACATTCTTTGGTGATGTTGCAATCAAACGACATCTGAAAGGTTTGGCTAAACAACTTACACCTTTCACTCAGATATCGCCTATTTGAAAAACTAAGCTAGTGCTCCATTTTGCTACGTAGGAATTGCCAGAGACATGATAAAGTAAGAAGAAATACCTGAGCTAGAGCCCTGCTCCTCCCACTTGCCTGGGTCACCCCAGTCTAGTTTCTTGTCTCTCTCATCCTTTTTACGGTTCTGTAGGACAGAGATTTTTATCAGCCTCGTGAGATTGTCATGAGAATTAAATCAATAGTATGTGTACAGCACACAGTCCATGATAAACATTCAGGATAGATTTGTTTCCTTCGGTTTTGATACATAAATTATATTTCCCTTCTGCAAGTGGTAGTTTTATCATTTTCTAAAATCGTGTGAGTTTGAATGCAAAAACATGAGAATGTCAGCTTTAAAACATACAAATGAGAACCAGTTTGAAAAAGGAATTTAGTTAGAAACCCAGCCTCATGCCTACTCTGCAGCTCTCCCAGTGGAGATGGAAATTCCTTGTGGCTTAGAGGAAAGCCAGTGTAGGCCGCAGAGTCAACAAAGCAAAACTGTCATTGCATTACTTTGTTCTTGGTGGTGTGACACATAAGTACACTCCCTTTTGTTGGTTTGTCAAGTCTTTGAGTAGTATGTGAATACTGTTAGTTACATTTAGCTTTGATTATGTGCATTTTGTTATCTTCATTAGTGATTATCAAAGCGGTTGGCTGCACATGCCCCCAGATATTGCACTAACAGTTCGTCCATAGAAGCATGGAAAGAAAATATTAGAGCTTTTATTTATTCATCTAAAAATAAAGAGATTTAGTTTTACTAATAGTATTGGCCTTTACAACCTGCCAGGGCTGTGTCAGCTTCAGTACTCCAGATATCCCGAGGGAGAAGATAGAAGTTCCTCAACTCATAGGGCTTGGCATACATGCACTCACCTGTTCATTCACGTAAAGCTTAGTGTAGTATGTGTGTTCCTGGTTACAGTATCTGGATTTAGTTAAACCCTCATGAAACAGCATGTTTCCCCACACACTGAAGGTGATAGAAAAATGTAAGCACATATGACAAAAGATAATGGCAGAGCTGACATACCCCTGCTCCTGGAACAAGTGCCACATTACAAGGGAAAAACAGTGATGAATCAGTCTAATCTCACAGCAAATGGATCCATAAAAGTTATCAGGAAGACTGTTGGCACTATGGATTTATATTCACTGTAATAAATGATGGATCTTACCACGGGTGAATACTGTGCTTGCTGATGGTCATGTGAAACCACTGTGATTAGTAATCTGTAATTACCCAGATTATTTTCAATGACATTTTAGTGAGTACAAAAACCGTGTTTTGTATCATCGGGTTTTTTAAATCTAATTCGTTTTATCTTTATCTCATTCTTTTAAGTTTATTTTATGAACATTTTGTAATATGTAAAACATTACTGCTGTAGAATATTGCACGATTTATAAAAAACTAGAACATATATTGCAAGCACATCCTCATTTTTTTACTTGTAGATGTATATAACCTGAAAAGTTTGGAAACCTGTGGTCTAGATTTTGGCTGATCATCAAAATCACCTGGAGAGTCTGATGTGTAATAGAAGGTCCCTGACCAGGCCCTGGGATCAGAATTTCACAAGGCTTCTGATGATCAGCCATGCTTGAGAACTACTCCTTGTCTGTATTATCTACTGCTATAAACAAAACAAAAATCCAGTAGTGAAATAGCTTTCAGCACGTGTTAGAAAGAAAAAAAATTCAGTAAGCCTCAAGCATCTGTAACATCTATCTACTTTTTAATTATCATTTTTTTTAATTTTTTAGAATGTGTTTTTAACAGATATGCTCCTACTCTTTAAATATTTTTTGGTCAAAGAAGATAATACTATGCATAGGTGTTAGGTTGACCCATATGAAATTTCGAACATTAAGCCATTTTTTTTTTACCAACAAAATTGGCATTTTATATGGTTAACTAATTCTTTTCTCAGAAAAACTATGCTCGTGTTTACAACCTGTGAAGATATTTACACAAAAGGAAAGCATTTATTTTGTGTATTTGTTGTTGCATATTTTTAAAATAGGATTTTAATCTATTACAATATATTTTGCTATCTGTGTTGTGTCTTTCTTCAAAGACTTATTCACTGTATTATAAAAATCAATTTTTGGACCTGCTGTGTCTAAACTCTGTGAACAAAATATTAATCCCAGAAACTCAAAAAGAACTTGAAATCCGACATGGGAAAGAACAAGGCCCATAGGCACATACCAGAAAAGCAACTTGTGGGCAAAATAAGCAACTTGCCAAGGAGCTGGTGGTGCCAGCAAACTGCTTGAGATAAAGAAATGGTTTATCTGGAATCACAAGCAGTGTCACCAGCCATGAGCTGCCTTTGTTCTCACTCATTGCCACAGAATTGTGAGGCACATGCTTGTTAATGGCCGTGGCGCCAGCTAAGCCTCTTTACCTTCCAGAACAAATGCATTTGGTGGCATTTATGTAATATAGTGTACTTTCCACTAGCATTGTTAAGAGAAAAGTTATTGTACTCTTAAACAATTAGCATTTAGGAGAGTAATTCTGAAAGAAAATGCATAAAAATGTTTGTGAAGGATTGTTTGTAACTTAATATATTATACCTATGAAATAGAAGACATAAAAGGTAATGCTCAACTTTACAAAAACACAATAATTTTTTATATTTTTGCATGTCTGACTATAAACACCTAAATGTTATTTTCTTGAATTTAAAAGGGATCTGCAGTCTTCTTGATTTATGAACGTTGTGGTTTTAAAAATAATTTGCTGGAAAATGACGTTTTGTTTTCATTTTTTAGTGACAAGTATTTAAGAACAGTGTATTTCCAGAATGCTACTGTGTTAATATCTTGCTACATACTTTGGGCTGTGCTATAACATGAAGCAAAAGTAATTATAGGTTGCTATTCGTTATCCCTGGTGATCACGATAAGGGAAATGTGGCTAAATTCATAGATAATCCCCAAAACATCATTTTAGCCATTAGTTTCAAATTCTTTCCTGTTAAGCCCTTATGAGAGAGAGAGAGCTACTATTAAGCTTCAAAAGTGATAGGCTTTAGGGTTTAGCTTTCTCTCCCCACTTTCTGTTGGATGCTGCTCTATAAATGAAATGTAAATGCAAGGTTGGGCAGCACAAGAAAGAGTAGAATTCAGGAGGCTACTTAATTCACAGAATGAATAATCAGCCCTGGATATTGGATATTGAGGGGTTGCGCAATTCTGATTCGGCTATCAAACCCAACAGAGAACAAACCGTGTTTAGAAGGGCTAGTGAATTAAAAGCCAGGTCACTGTAGGAATGGAATCATGATAGTTTACCATGTGAGGAAGGCAGCTACTAAAAATACACTTCATACATCTTGTTTAAAAATTAACACTTTACATTACAGGTGATCACCTTCTTTAGCTCAAGGTTGCTGCAAGCTGGAGCTGAGCTGTCAGTGGAACGGGTCCTGGAAATCATTAAGCAAGGCGTCATTGCACTGCCCAAAGACAGACTGAAGGTAAGATGGCTAAAGAAATGTCCACTTGACACTGCCATGTCCCTTGATGTAAATGTTAGTGTCTGAGCAGGCCCTATCCAGAATCATGCTGCTTACCCAGTACATAGACTAGAAGGGCTCCTCAGAACTGTCACAAAGGTTTCTGACAGCTTTTCAAAAGAAGATAGCAAAAGAAGCATTAATACTTTCATACCACTGCGTATCCTACAAGCAACCATGGCATGCACTATAATTCATATACTGTTAATAAAAGGACACCTTATTTCTTTAACCCAGTGAAACAAATTCGGCCTTAAAAGTATCATCACGAGTTGTTGGGAAGGTGATGATGAAGATGATCACAACAGTAGCTAATATTTACATAATGTTAACTCAGGTGCCACACAGGTTCTAAATGTATTATATCAAACTCATTCAGTCCCTACCACAGCCCTTCAAGGTGGGTAGTGGTATCATCCTAATTTTTCAGGTGAGGAAACTGATGTACAGTGAAGTTAAGAAACTTAGCCAAGGCCATACAACTGGAAAATGATGGAGCCTGGAGATTGAAACCCAGGAAATCTAGCTCCACAGCCCACATTCATGATTGCTGCACTGTTTACTGTGTGCCTGGGATGTAGTAGTGGAAAGAGATGCACTTCGTGGAGATGGTGGGGGAAATGCTGTATTTGAAGAAGGCATTTACATCTGTGTGATAGATGTATTCCTGAAGCAGTCTCACAATATAAAACTCACACTTCAAGACTAATTATCCCATAAGAAAAGATGTAAAAGAGATCCTTTGGGGAATGCATGAATGTATAGCATTGCAGCTTACTTTTACTTTACTGTTCTTTTTAATTTTTTCTTCATTAGCTCTAATTTTTTAGAGTGCTTTCACATAAATTACCAACACAGGAGGTCATAGTGGATATTTGGCCTTCATAGTGTTTTATCACAACTCACGTCTGTTCCAGTGTTACTGTTTTTGGGGGCTGTGTTGTTCAGCACTATCACTAGAACCACTGCTTAATGAATGCTTGAGAGATATTGTTGTAGGATATAAAAATATTTTCAATTATAATAACAGAGTTTGTAAAATAACAGCACATTAGTCATCATAATCACTTGCAAAAGTTCCACTGTACATAAACAACAGTGAGATTTACACGGTACTGAGCAAAGATGGCAAGTGTTCTGTTTATCAGCCAAAGTGGCACCACCATGTGGTAATAGCATAAAAACAGGTTACAGTTCACTGGGTCCTCCAGCTTGGATGTGTTCCTATTCCAGATAATTTTTTAAATATAGAGAATTCATATTATTTCCATTTTCACATAAAGTAAGACCTTGGTTTATTGGTTGGTTTGGGGGTATTTTTGTGGGATTTTTTTTGAACTATTTCAAATTTATGTAGACTATACCATGTGAACCAGTACAAAAAAATCCATGAGGATTAGTGGCTAGTCCCAGGAAGTGATGGATCTTGGTGTCTAAGCTCAGTCAGGAACAAAGTAGAAATATCAAGGCTGCCAAAAAAGGACACTGCAATGGAGTCTGGGGAAGGTTGATCTTGTAGTTCACTGTAATACTTACCTTAAAGCAAAATGAATTACAATGTGCTGGCTAAGTACTTGTATGTTAATATTTGTTCATTTATTATACTATGTTCAAAAATAAAATGTCATTTATATTTGAGACAGTGACATATAAACAAAAATGAAACTCTTTTCGTTTTTCAGAATTATGGCTAAATAGAGAAAATAATTGATCTATGATGGGTCCCAGGCAAGTTGACTCTGATTTAGAGCAAGATCCTATTGAGGCCAAGGTCATGGGTAAATTTCTTAAGTGGGCCAGTTAATTGGTTCTGGAACATAGCAAGAAGTTGTACTCCTGACCTCAGCTTGCCATCTCGCTTCATGGTTGCAAAAGGATAGAGGAAGGATGATTCAGTTTAAAAAAAAAAAAAAAAAAGAACTATCACCAGTACTAGAAAAGATTACATTTACTAAAATTGCATTTACCCACAGATGGTGAGTCATCCTAGTTGGTTTAAATGATAGCATATTATTACCACAGATGTTACTAGAAAAAAAAGGCTGTTTATCCTTACAATCAAGCCTTATCTCAATTATTTTAATCATCTTTTTGGATTGAGTGTTTATGATAAAATGAATCACTTAAAACCTCTAGAGTTTAATTCACAGAATACCACAGTATCTAAAGTTGATTGAAAATTCAAGCTGTGTTGAATAATGTTTATGTTATGCTACATGACAGCACATTACAGTCTTTGGAGTAGTTTACTAATATATACTGATAAAATAATTGTCGGGTATGTAATAATAGTTTTATACATGATATTGATGTAAAAGAGTTGGTTTCAAATTGGAAATGCTGTCTTAATAAGCTCTCTGTGAAAATGTGGAATAATATATACTGATTGATTTGTTGTTTCTTAAAATATATAAATTAAACACTTAGAAACTCAAAATTATTTACTACTACCTTCTGGGTTGTTAAGAGGATCACAGTGCCCCTTACTCGTGAGAAATTCACCAGCTAATGTCAGCTGAAGACAATGAGCCTAAAGTTTTAGAAGTTTCCCTTTCTTTGTAGAATGGAAGCCAAATGTGTAGAAGTAGTATTCTTCCAATTTTGGGCAAGTAAACAGTAAGATCTGGAAGCCCATGGAAGAGTAATTGACTTCCAACCAAATAAAATATTTTTCAATCAAATATTATTTGACATAGCCTTCTAAAATATTTGTGTAATATCCTATGTGGGAATACATACTCTTTGGATAAATCTGTCTATATAGTTAAACAACTTGGCTGTTCAGAGTAAATAGTATTAATATCATTCTAAACATTCTCTTCTTACTGGTATTCTGTGAAGTCTGGGAAAGGCAATGCCAGGTAATTATTTTTTCCGGACCCTCCTTCTTAAACAGAGACCTAAAGAACAGGCTCTGAAATTCTGAGTCGCTTATTTCTCCTTTAGGGTTTGGAAGGAAATAAATAAAGTTAGTATGTCCTCTGGGAGCCGACTTAGAAGCCGCAGCTCAAAGCTCTCGCTCTCTGTATCCACAACAGGGCATGTTCCTGGCTCGCATTTCGCTTACTGTGGAGCAATTTGAATGTCATGGTGATGGGTCGGAATCCATCCAGATCTGTGCGTGTTCTCACACCACTACCACCTCGGGTTTCATTATGTTGGACTCTCAAATCCCCTCTTTTCTTCAGTTTAGTGAATTATCTATGTCATTTGAGGATTAAGAATTTTACCGTATTTAATGTTTGACAACTAGGTAGTGCTTTTCAAGAGGAATTAACCAGAAGATAACTTACCTTTTAATGTAAATAAGAAAGTATGGAATAATATGTTATTGACATTAACCAAACTTTTCATATACTCAAGACACTTGATAAGTCATAGGAATTAAAAGTAATTACCAGTTTCACACTAAATGATTTTAAAGCCTTTATTTTATATCCACTTTTTATAACACTTTTGTGGTTTTTAGTTGCATAAAGAAAAATATAAAAAATTATACTAACTGAAATTTCAAGAGGTTTTTCACAGCTTCTTAATATTGACTTGCTTAAAACCTTTCCCCTTGCTCCTATTCAGGGGTCTCTTCCCTGTCTCACCCTAAGCATCTTGCATTTCTCTGTCAGTTCTCTATCCCCAGAGCAGATTCCTGAGTGCCATACTGGGAGGGCCCCCTTGGGGTCCCACAGGAACAACCCCCGTGTGTCCACAGTCACTCTCTTCTGCCTGCCTACACATCCACACTCCTTGTGCATCTCTACCTGTGGAAATATGAAGAGCCAGCATCCTCCCTCTAACACAAAAGTACTGTTAGATCCCAAACCCTAGAAATTCTCATTTCTCAAGTCATTCCTTTCCCTCTACATTGCCATCCTCCCATGTGGCTTCTCCACATTTCCTCCACAGTCTATTGCTATAAACTCCTAATCGGGGTCCCCACTTCTCATCCTTCTTCCTCCCCAGGCGTCCTTAGCCCTATTGCTGCCCTTATACCCTGCTCTGATCCAGCACGCAAGGCACTTCATGGCCTACCTCCTGACTTAAGTTTTGTTCTTTTTCCTTCTACGGATTCTGTGCCCCAACACTGTCAGCCACTAGCCGATTGCCAGGTGGACAGAGTCCTTGCATGCCAGGCCTTTGTGTGTGCAGCTTCTGGGTTCTCACAGTTTCATGGCTTGTCTGTCAGGTGAGCCGATCGTGCTCCCCGCTTTCTATGAAGCCCACTCCGATTCACCCACGCACACTCGGTGGTTTTCTCCACATTCCTATGGCACCACGTATGTCCCTCCATTATAGCAAAAACCATCCCTCAGCACACCCATCTCATTCAATACATATTCGTGGGGTAAATTAACTTCTCCACTCCACCTCTGGATTCCTATTTCTCTCCTTCTCAGCCAAAATCCTGATTTCTCCTTTGGTCCTTCAACTCTCCTTATTCACTGCACAGCATTAGTGCAGAACATTAAAGGAGGGACTCCCAGTGAAGAGTGAGGCTTTTCTCCATGGCATGCTGTCCCAAGGACCCCTCAGCCCCAGCTCCCGGGTGGAAGACAAAGGGTCTCTTACCTCTAAGCTTTCCCTACCAGTTGATTTTCCTGTATTTGGCCCGTCTCCTTCTACCACCATTCTCCTTCTGTCCCCAGATTTGCTTCTCAAGATGTGTGCACTCATCTCTCCCTTTACATTAATTTGCATCATCATCATCATCACTGATATCACCCCTAATATACAAGCAAAGCATCACTTACAAATGTGGTTTGTTTCTTCCTACTGCAGCTCGTTATTTTACTCCCACTTTGACCATAGCATTGCTAGGACATTGGGGAAACAGAAGTGTGTAAGACACCACCTCTGCCCTCAGAAAAATGTATTACCTTTCAGGAGAGAAAGGCACCCCCTTGCATTGCAAAGCTGAATAGAGCAGGGCACTTTACGCTGCATGTCAAATGAATGGTGTAGAA